GACCGTGGGGTGTGGAGTGCCCTACGAGAGAAGCTCAAGGCTGTGGGTACTACATTGGTCTTACCAAGTGGTTACAGGCCGACGAGCAACGATATCTGCGAGTCAGATGCCGAGTTTCCATGCAACCCTGAAAACCAAATGCTCAGTACTACGAGACTCGTCGTTAACTATGCGGTTGTCAGGAGCCTGTTCAGCCTATAACTTAGCTCCCCATAGTGCTCTGCATGGTACAGTACCATTGGTACTCCACCTGCTGAAGATCTCTCAGGTAGAGAGATTCGTCGCGGATTTGAACAGGCTCTTCCGGTCCCATCTGCTACGTTACCTGAAAATATCAACGCACGATGTTGGTGACCACATATGGTAAGCGAAACCCAAAGAGCAACGCCGTACTGGAGCCAGAATCTTCGAATCAAGATATGTGCTTGAAAAAGCATCTCCATATGCCTATCATGTACGCCGTGTTGATAATAATGGTCTACCCATTTGAGGGCAAGTAGTTGCTGCAGCGGACAGATCGGTCCACTGCAAACAACGGCCGCCAGTTGATTGTCCATCTGCAGTATCACCCCCTCATCAAGCTCTCTCTATATCTCTGAGAGTGAGTCTATCATCTATCCGAATGATATTTCTTGGATTGTGGTGCATAGATTATTGGGAAAATTGGTCTAATCTATGCAAAGTCTGCTAGTCCAGACAATGAAGTATAATCTAAGCAAAAGCTGCTGTTCTATGCTGTTTTTGCTAAGCCATGCAATAAAAACCGTGTACGCTATAACAGCAATGCTTAGAATAAGAGCGAGCGAGCGAAGCGAGCGAGCGAGCTAGTAATTTCTCAACATTAATCAGGTGACTGTGTACATCATTCCATGGATAATGACGATCCACTGATAATGGAAAAGAGAGACTTGGGGCTATAATATAGCCTATACTTATTCCTCGATGTTATGTACGTTGTTACATTATTATCCTTTATAACAATGCTTGCGCTGATGCCTATTCTTTCGACTTGATATATATTAAAGTACTTGCTATTCGTTCAGCACGAAACCGGAGTTCGGGAAACGGGGACCGAAACGTGAACGTAGCGGAACCTTACCTCGGGAATTGATCGTCCATCATGAAGCATACAAAGTTGATATCATCAACAGTTTAGCTATTGTAACTCCTGGCATTACTTACTTAAGGTGATAATGGCATAGGCCGACGGGCTTATTCAATTTACGCTTGAATAGTAACTTTATTAGGTCTTGGCTTGTTGGTTTTTGTCCGTCCTTTTCTTCTATGAACGACTGCATGTGTTCATGCTGTGTGCGTAACCCTTCTACCTAGTTGAGCTTCTACAGAACATGTGCATACGTATCATGTCACTGCCATGCTGATAGAATATGTCAAGTATAGTGTAACTACCACATGTTTGTGCTGGAAACACGTAGTGGGAAGAGTGGAGCTTACTATGCATGCCGTCACATCAAGTGTTGGCATCCTGTTCATTCCTCAAGTCTTTCACATTTTCTTTTGCGCAGTTGGAATAGCGCGCGCCCATAAAAAAATCAGCGCAAGATCCTCAGCGCGTGTTCATGAAATTGATTTAGTTTGAACAACTCTCAAGTTTCTCGTGCTTTTAGTTAAGATTATGAGGTTTATTATATGTAGCGTGCATCCGGAATCATCATAGATATCATGTGGAAGGGTTCGGACTTCCTTCAAGGCACCACCATAAAATGATAATGACGTGAAGATGTCTGATAGAGGCTATTCAAGCGGTAAAAGGAAGGGTAGTAATTTTTACTACGATCTTTTTGTGTATATGTATTTGCTTGTTTGAGCCGATCCACTGTGATCAGCCTTATTTCATTCATAGTTTTCAATTGAGCCGATCCACTGTGATCAGCCTTATTCCTTTCACAATTTCTTATAGAGCCGATCCACTGTGATCAGCCTTATTTCTTGCATAATTTCTTATAGAGCCGATCCACTGTGATCAGCCTTATTTCATTCATAATTTCTTATAGAGCCGATCCACTGTGATCAGCCTTATTCCTTTCACAATTTCTTATAGAGCCGATCCACTGTGATCAGCCTTATTTCATTCATAGTTTTCAATTGAGCCGATCCACTGTGATCAGCCTTATTTCATTCATAATTTCTTATAGAGCCGATCCACTGTGATCAGCCTTATTTCTTGCATAATTTCTTATAGAGCCGATCCACTGTGTGTCATTCACATGACCGAAGCGATACACGTATCTTCCTCTGTGAGTAACATCATGGCGATCGCGCCAACACATCTGACTCGAAACCGTTACCGTTTCGGATACTCATGATCGCCATGAACTAAACCAAAACTACAGACTCTTTTCTGATCTATTTGCTTCACCCATCCATTGTTGCGCTATGACCAATGGAACGGCAGATTCTACCGGGATCAAGACTCTCCGACGAAGCTCTCGTATCAAGTCCAAGACGTCAAGCATCAAGCCACCTCTCGCGAGAATTCCGCCCCGAGCATCATCCCAAAACACGGCCATTCTCGACGCCTTGAAAGCTCTATCCAACGAGGTCCAATCTTTACGAGCACACGTTGATGACCTACAAGCTCAGCAACCGCCGGTGACCCAACAACACGCCGCTGATACTAAAGCGCCGAGCCCTACATCAACTGTCGAGCATGGTCAACCAGCCCGTTCACATAACCCCAACGTCGGCAACACCGAGGATCCACCTCTTTCCCTGCCACTCCCTCCTTCAGGAGAGGTAGACTCAGTCAACATCGCTGGCAACAATGATAGGGGTTCACCTCACTCTCAACTTCTTCCACCTTCGGGAGGGATTCAACCGGTAATCCGCCCTGTCAATGACGTCAGAGGCTCGCCTGTTACACACCCTCTTCCCACTCAAGAAGAAGTCTGCCCGGTCAATCCCACTGTCAACTACGCCAGAGGTACACCATTCCCTTACCCTTTCCACATGTCGAGAGAGACTTACCCTATCAACTCACGTGATCACCATGCCAGAGGCGTATATCTCTCTCATCCTCTCCCTCCTTCAGGAGAGGTCTATCCGGTCAACCCCGCTGACCACAACGTCAGAGGCGCATATCTCTCTCATCCTCTCCCTCCTTCAGGAGAGGTCTATCCGGTTAACCCCGCTGATCACAACGTCAGAGCGCATATCTCTCTCATCCTCTCCCTCCTTCAGGAGAGGTCTATCCGGTTAACTCCGCTGACCACAACGCCAGAGGTGCATCGTTATCTCATCCTATCCCTCTTTCAAGGGAGGTCTACCCAGTCAACTCCGCTACGGACAACACCAAAGGTACATTCTTCTACCATCATTCTCCCCTTTCAGGAGAGGCTCATCCTGTCAACACCGCTGTTAGCGACTCAAGAAGGCCAACTTCTGTTCATCTCTCTCCTACCTCCAGAGATTTCTTCTCCGCCAATCCCGCCGGTAAGACCACTAGATGCCTGTCGATACAACTCCCCTCCCCGTCTGAAGTGAGCTCATTGAGACATGCTGATAATGAGCTCATAGACCTATCTCCTCGTTCTCAGCGTGCCGTCACCTCAAGGGCAGTGCCAACTGCACCACAGTTCCCGACAAGGGTTCACGGCTCTGATGATGCTACGGCTCCACTTCTTATCAACCATAATGAACACCAACCACAAGATCGGGCTTTCCACGTGGTGACTCGGAAGCTATCGGTGCAAGATTGTATCACCAGAGCACAGACCATTGGTAACCTCCTTCCTGGCAAGTCTCTATGGTGCGGTTCTCGAGACATCCAGAAGAGAACTTTCGCTGAGACTCGTCAGCTGGTCACGACCAGTATGTCGTATAAATGGTCACCTCCGTGTACTCAGTACTTCCTAACCAGGCAAGTCTATGCACCTTTCATCGTGCAGAGGTTAGATCTATGGGAAACCAAGCAAGATTATGGGCCACTTCTGTCCTGTGCTCAAGATCCCTACTCCACCTACTGGAAGGAAGCTACCAGGCGTCAGTGGTTCTACCTATCAGCTTGCTTCGACAAACACAACTCGGACTCTCTAGAATGTCGCTGGAGTGACCTGAAGCTGACTCCCAATCTCCACTGGGATGATTACATCACTCAGTTTGAGGTGGTGGCATCCCAACTTGCTCAAGCCAGGGGAGTCAACGCTCTTACTCAAGCTGAACTCCGGGCCCATCTCTACCTATCTCTCCCCAAGGCGCTACAAGCTCATTGTGTCCAGCTCGGCTACAACGTGGGAGAGAAGCGGATGGACTACGATGGTCTCGTTAATACCTGTGCTGGTTGGTGTGAGCTCAATTGGCAAACTCTTGCGCCCGCAGCAGGCACGGCCACAGTCAACAACGTCGCTCTGGCATCTGTCCCTTCTGCGGAATCGTGCACTCCTCAAGTAATCACTTCTTCCTCTACTACGACCCAAGAGAACCAACAGAAGACCGACAAGAAAACCCGACCGACTAGACCATCTACACCCTATCGTCAGAGAATCAAGGACGATTCTTCCATCCTCAATGATGAGTACAACATCAAGATACTCTCCAGTCGCTGCCAAAGATGTCTGTCCGAGTCGCATGACACCATAGCGTGCTGTGAAGAGCTCACAAAGAAGGATGAGAGATGCTACTACTGTGGCCTCATCCACCATCACTCACGCCACTGCCCTGCTGGTCACGACAACTATCGAGGTCGCAACTGCGAGCGTTGCAACAAGGTCAATCATGCTGCTCGCGCATGTCGTCGATATCGACCCGGTGCCGCACCCGTTGCTGCTGCAATCCCTTCGACTGGCGTGCCGAAATCTGCATCGACGACTGGTACTCCACCACTGAGTTTTATCAACCTCTATGTCAACCACTCAAGCGGTCATACACCGGCCCTGGTCGACTCCGGAGCGGCTGTATCGGTGGTCAGCAGCTCGGCCGCAGCATCTCTCAACCTCACAGTTAGCAGAGCCGACCTTCGGATACGCCTAGCTGATCTCTCTGAGACCCCTGTCCGCGGTGTTGCGAAGTCGGTCCCTATATCCTTTTCCAATGGTAGCCGTTGCACTGAAGACCTCTACGTGCTCGATGGCTGTGCTCACCAGCTCATACTATCGGTAGGGCTTCTAAGAAGACTGAAGGCCATCTGGCATTTGCACGATAACTACATCGTTTTCGGTGACAACGAGGATGGCCAGCCGATCTCTATGGTGAGCATGCCCAAGCCTAGGAATGAGCCATCAAGTCCATCTGTGTATTCTAGCACAGTCGCTGAGCTATGTAACATCATGGTTTCTGAAGCACGGTCAACCCAAAGGGGCACATGCTGTGATGTTGACACCTCCGAGTCAAACACCATAACTCTGCCCCAAGATGTTTGGGAGACTTTGGCACTCTCCTTCTTTCCCGAACCTCGAGAAGACGACTCCAGCCCCACTAAAGGTCTCACTCGGTCTCAAACCATCGACGCCTTCCGGGATCAGTTCACTGACCAAAGGAGCTCCGAGAAGCACGGAAATGACCTATTCGACTTCTCCATCGACCCCCCATCTGATACTGCTCCTCGGGGACGGTTGCACTGCAAAGTCCCATGGCGTGATGCGGCGAGACCGTCACCTATCCACAACCAATCTGCAATCAAAAGAGATTGCATCGTTATGGCCAGGCTCACCGATGCGGAGGCTTCAAGCTACCACCAGGTGGTGAACGATCTGTATACTCTCGGCTTCGTCGTCCCTGCACGTCTCCAGAGTACCCCTGACACCGAGCCTTCTACTGTCATGTATACGGACCATAGCCTTCCACCGGTCTCTACGCTAATACCGGCATTTCCGGTTTTCCGAAAGTGCTCAAAGACCTCGAAGACGAGGTTGGTGTTGGACTGCAAGTATCACAACGGCTTCCTCAGAAGTGGTCGACAAGCCAACGACACTACCTATCCGGAGACGTTATGGGCTAATCTAGCGCTGAGCCGTACGGCGAAGGCCATGGTGGTCGATGATATCTCCAAAGCCTATCATCAAATCAAGCTTGGTGACGCTTTGGATCGACGTCACTTTGGAATGATGGCGTGTGGCCGAGTGGGAATGTGGGTCTCTACTTGTTCCGGTGCAACGTATTCTCCATCAGCCCTGCTGCAAGCAAACAAGGCGGTTCTTACCTTGAGAGATTTCGAGTCCGGCCACATCACTCGTGACCAAGCTCTCACCGATCCTGTCTGTCGATCTCTGATCTCTCAGTTCGAGGGGAATTTGAAGTTAGGTTCTCTGACATTGAACCATGGAGACGTTTCCGGCAAGAACAGCGCCACAAGTAACAATGGCCAAGACCCTCTCCTCAAGCACACCGCCATCTACGTCGACGACGGTCAGACTCGAGGCAAAACGAAGGAAGTCGCCCTGAAAAGGGCCAACTTCTTCACTGCCACTCAGTCTGGTCATGGCTTCCACTCCAATGTGCCAAAGCGCAGCAGAAGCTGGGGTCCGATCACAAGTACCAAGTATCTCGGTTACGGCTGGCAGACAGGTGATGAAAGTGATCAGCTCTCCCCCACTTTCAGAGTGCCCGAGGCCTTTGACCTCGATAATCCTCCTTCGACTATCACTCGGCGCCAACTATTCAGTCTCTGCCAAGGTCTATATGACCCCCTTGGTCTGGCCTCAGAGTACTCACTCTGCTTAAGACTCTTCATGGCCACTTACTACACCGTCGATGTCACCAACCACGCTGGCAAGCCGCCCAATCTATGGGACATCGACATCGACCCTGAAGGTGCTGCTAATGTGCTCAGTTTCTGTCGCGCCCTCACCACTGCGGATCTACTCTATCCTCGGTTCGCCGACATCAGCAACATGATGGTCTTCACCGATGCCAGTGTCACTGCTGGTCATGCTACCATACTCTGTCCGACGACCGATTCCGAGGGTAGCGTTTTTTACCACAAACTGGTTGGCAAGGGACGTCTCTGGTCTACTCGAACTAGTCAAGCTCGTTGGTCTATTCCCAAGAAGGAACTCGTTGCCTTTTTCGACGGCCTCACCCTTGCGACATCTCTCGTAACCCTGTACTCGAAGTTTGCAATCGAGACCCCAATAAAATGTCTATCCCTCTACTGTGACTCCGAAGCTCTACTGTACCGTCTCCGACGTGCATCAAAGGGCGATTTCGGAAAGACACTCTCTAACTTGGAAAAAAAGGCTCTGAAGAGAGGTCTGGTCGATCTCAACCACATAGCAACTACACTTCGAGTCCCAGTCACAACTTACCACATCGAAGGTGAAGCCAACCCCGCTGACACTGGCTCTCGGCCCAAGATCAACGGTCAACTACCTAGTCCCCTCGAGGACGCAGTCATCGAGAAAGGTATCAACGCCGCCCATGCCAAGAATCTCTCGTATGTCTACACGCTGGAGGCGACTCCAGTAACAGACGTCCTATCCTACGACACCATCTCGGTGGCTAATCATTTCAACAATGATCAGTTGCTCAAGTTTCAGCAGGAAGACGGCCGCGCAAGAGCCATCGTGGACACTCTCAATTCTACACCTTCAGCTGAAGTTGCCCATAACCTGAGACTATATCACATCTGTCCTGATAGTGGTCTACTTCTTTATAGTGGTGTCAGCGACAGCAATGGAGGAACTGCATGTCGACCAGTCCTGCCACGCGGTCAAGGATGTGATGAGGTATTATCCCTCCTACACGACAAGCTCGGGCATGACAACGCCCCAAAACTGAGATCCCTCTACAACGAGGCCTTCTACACTCCTAAGTTGCGTATAGCTCTACTTCGTCTACTGAAGACATGTCACGTCTGCCAGCTGGCCAAGAAGCAGTCTGGGTACAAGAAGCGAGCTGGCTGCGTGCGCCCAGCGCATCTATGCTTTGACATCGGTCAAGTTTGGTGTCTTGACCATGCTGGTCCTTACCGTTGCCCGGTATCCGGCGAGAAAATATGGGTCCTAACCTGCTGCGATCCGGTATCGGGCTTCCTTCTCTATGATAACACTACATCTCCAACGGCCTCTTCCATATGCTCATCCCTCATCAAGCTGTTTTCCATTGTGGGCGACCCTGCTTGCATCACTGTTGATGCTGGGTCAGCTATGACCAGCCGTGCAGTCGAAGGGTTCTGTGTGACGAGGTCAATCGCCTTCACAGTTTTCCCTCGCCAGTCAAAGTTCATCGCCGCTGTCTACGAGAGAGGTCATGGGCTCCTACTCAGTCAATTAAGACACCGGCTACTACAAGAAGAGGATCAGCCACGACCTTTACCGGACACAATCGCCGAAGCCGTGTATGGCATAAACTGCTCTCCACGCCACGATTTGGGTACATTATCCGCCTTCCAGCTCTTCTACTGCCGTCGACCTCGACTACTCGCTCCGGCGGAGGAACTTGAGGATTGGTCTCGAGCCAAGCTTGAGAATTGGATACCCAGCATTACCGAAGGCCAGCCTCCAACAATGTCCTCCGAACTAAAGGCCATCTACGATGACTTACAGGAGCGTCGCACCCGGAGCCTACTCGACTTCTTCACACTGGTCAAGGAGGCAAAGGACCGTATCCGAGCAAGGGCATCTAAACTTCCCCAACAGTCTGGTTTCAAGGCTTTCGACATTGGCTCTCTGGTTCTGCGGCTTGTACCTCCACCGCTCAAGCAGGACGTCTCCTGGAGAGGCCCCTACAGAGTTGTCGCCGTCTCTGATGACCAGCTCCTCTACCGTTTGGAAGATGTCAAGACCGGTACTCAGCTCAAGTTCCAAGAATGCTACTTCAACCTCAAGCAGTACCATGCCAAGAATCCCGTCCTCGAGTCCCTTCCAGTTCCAACTGTTCAAGATGGTTCCACTCTGAATCTAACGGATGGCGATCTTTACTGCTTCCGGTGGATCGACGGGCACGGATGCGAGCATCGAGACTTTGGCCTATACGACTCTGATTTGAAGAAGATGGTACTGAGGAAAGTCCACATCGACGGTTCCATCGAGATCTTGACCGACTTCATCGATCAGCAATATGTCTGCGACGTCGATATCCACTACGAGTGTCCACTCCGTATGACCAGATCGATCAAGAACCGTATCATCAAGTACATCGAAGGTGGTAACCTGTGTGATGCTGATTAGGATTTTCAGATGTAACCTTTATATATTCATTTGCTAATTAATCCTTTAGCTACTGTTCGCCCGGGAGTGTGTCATTCACATGACCGAAGCGATACACGTATCTTCCTCTGTGAGTAACATCATGGCGATCGCGCCAACACATCTGACTCGAAACCGTTACCGTTTCGGATACTCATGATCGCCATGAACTAAACCAAAACTACAGACTCTTTTCTGATCTATTTGCTTCACCCATCCATTGTTGCGCTATGACCAATGGAACGGCAGAACTGTGATCAGCCTTATTTCATTCATAGTTTTCAATTGAGCCGATCCACTGTGATCAGCCTTATTCCTTTCACAATTTCTTATAGAGCCGATCCACTGTGATCAGCCTTATTTCTTGCATAATTTCTTATAGAGCCGATCCACTGTGATCAGCCTTATTTCATTCATAATTTCTTATAGAGCCGATCCACTGTGATCAGCCTTATTTCTTGCATAATTTCTTATAGAGCCGATCCACTGTGATCAGCCTTATTTCATTCATAATTTCTTATAGAGCCGATCCACTGTGATCAGCCTTATTCCTTCCACAATTTCTTATAGAGCCGATCCACTGTGATCAGCCTTATTTCATTCATAGTTTTCAATTGAGCCGATCCACTGTGATCAGCCTTATTCCTTTCACAATTTCTTATAGAGCCGATCCACTGTGATCAGCCTTATTCCTTTCACAATTTCTTATAGAGCCGATCCACTGTGATCAGCCTTATTTCTTGCATAATTTCTTATAGAGCCGATCCACTGTGATCAGCCTTATTTCTTGCATAATTTCTTATAGAGCCGATCCACTGGTCTATCAGTGGTCATCAGGTCTATTGCGACTGGTCTTTGATTTCTTACAATCTTCACCAGCAATAAAATCTCTATGACGTATTGTTTCATCATGGAATTTCCCTCGTTGTGAGATTTATTTTGCTAATGCGTACAGTACATGCAATCTAGTCGTGCGAAAACGTGTCACCAGCTTAGCTCTTAGCTCGGTATTGGTCTGACAATTTTGCTTGCATTGTCGGCGGAGCGAGTAATATCAGCACGGCGCAAAATCTATAGTTATCATTAGCTTTCACAACAAGACATTCACGCGTGACAGGTATGTTGGCTTCTCTCTTGTGGTTCATCCGTTCGATGCCTTCGGGATTCCCATTGTATATGGACGCACAGAACAAGATCATTCGTGGAAGCCAAAAAGTCGCATGGGTTGGGTCTACCAGGATATGGTACGATTAAACATTTGTTAAGGAATTCTTTGACAGGATCCTGCCATGGTGTGCAGGTACGATACTTCTCGTAGAGAGTACAGACATACCTTTGTCCCGTTCTTCATGGCAATTATAAACGAAGAATGCTATGAAGTATATCATCATCTGATAACCCATTTGGATATGCTCGTTCGTGCGTTAACCTCGGGGGAGCGCGGCCTGAGTGACGTCGTCAATCTCTGCGTTCACGATGCCCATCAGGGTGCCATTAAGGCATGTAATGAATTGCTGCCAGATGTGAGAAACGGTAGGTGCGATGATATGTATGAATATTATAATATTTGGTCTCTTCATCACTCAGCTCGTTGCTATTTCCATTTGAGCAAAAACTTCAAGGACAATCGGGGCGTGTTAGGGGATGCATTTCCAATTGTGAGTTACGTGTTAAAATTGGAGTTATCATTTTCTGACGTTTCCAGGTCATGCGCCACAAGTTCTGGCTGCACTCTTGCGCAACTGATGGATTGTATGACTTACTCTCGAATGCTCTGATAAGCGCTGTGGATTCGGCATGCCCCAGGGGGGCTGAGTATTTGCGAAGAACCCTCAATACAGACCAATATGGCAACCCACATATTGCAATAACGAGAGAGGGTTTGGCTGGAACTCAAGCAAGTTAATCACTGCATGTATCGGGTCAGACTTGTTGTCCAGGTATTAACTAACATTGATGAGTCATTTCACAAGACCAATACAAGGATCATGGGCAAGAAGAGACTCAATTTGGGCGCCTTTGCGGGAAAAATACGCAAGGTTCAACAATTCGCTCCTTGCAGTTCGATACTTAGTTCTAATTCCCACTAGGTTATCACCTCCTTGAAACTCTCAAGTTCTCAGCACTATGTCAAGCGGCCTGAGCCTATAAATGCAGTGGACTACAAACGCGAGATGAAGATTCGCGGGACTAGATTCAAGCAACGGAATATGGTTTGGGAGGTAATTTATGATACGTCTGATATCATATCTGTCATAAACTGTAGATAAAAGATTGAATTCATTGAGTACTAACTCACCTCGCTATGGGATATTTCATGTTCTCTACGATTCTCGATTGATCACCATTCGATTGCAGGTGACTGCAAACGTGAGAGATTTAAGTGATGGAGACATTGAAGGGCGGTTCTTCCTACTCGCAAATAGTCGGACTCGAGCTGATGAACGTGATGAAGCACAGCTAGAGAGCATCGACACATACCTTCGTGGTATGCTGTTCGAAGACCTACCGGATGGTCCGTGACTCCAAAAAAAATGGTAAATGTGGTCTCTTATAACCTCGTTTTAGTCGGTACGCGAACTTTGCAAGAAGTAATGGAGGACTTCTTCTGCTTCTATCTCGTCACCACAGACCCAAGGGCTCATATGATGCTCAATGAACGCAAGACTCCTCCAGCTTGTACGTGCAAGGATTATCGAGATTGGGCTTGCTGCGCACATGGCTATGCTGTGGAAGTTCATCTTGGGACTCGGCCGTCGTAAGTTGTGAACGTGCCAAACCTAGTGTTTATTTAATGTCCATGCTCGCATCAGAACTTCCTTCTGTACTTCAGATACGT